AAAATGAAAAACAAAAATAAAATGTAAGCGTTCAGAACGAGGAGATAATGAAAAACAATTACGATCTAGCAACACGGTACACAGCACATAAATTTCATTTTTATTTACAATCATACATTAGAAACATACAATTATTGATGTATGTAGTCTAATTAGCTGTAAGGTAATCTGACAGTGAGTTATGAGTTTGTATAATGAGGTACTCGAAATGTAATATTATGTCAAATGAAACGTAATAAATTGGCCATCTATAATGCGACAATTGGCATGCTTTCAATATTGAATTTGACCAGAACGAATCCAGTCGGTAAATTAGTGGAACCAGACGAAACTTCAACGGTTTCTTTTATGCGACAGCCACAAAAGTTGTCAATTGATTTTATGCACTATTTCAATTGACCTCAAGTTGTTGTAGCGATTGTTGTTGGAGTGCTGGAAGCAACGGTAGCTACAAGAGTTGATATCAGAGTCGCAGCCAGTGCAAAATGAAACGAATTAACAATTTGATGTAACTGTGATTTTTGGTGTGCTTTTTGGCCGCAACCGTCGCACACGCCCTCACAACAAAACGAATTCAAAAGAAATGCTTATCGTGCTTCACAGAAACCGAGCAACAACAGCAACAATAACAGCAACAGCAAGAAAACATGAAATTGAAAATGCCAAACGCTAAAAGACAACTAGGCGACCAGTCTCCCCCAGTCCTCTCTCCTACGAGTACGTTCCGTTCAACAATGTAGCCATAGTAAAACTGTAACGAAACCCGATTGAACCCGCCATGGGTGGCTCGACTTGCCAGGGCCCAGAGCGGCGAGCGAGACGGCAACATTAGAGCAACAACAACAAAAACAACAACAGTGGACCAGGGACATGGACAATAACATGTACGAAAAATTTCATTGCTGGTGTGCTTTTTGCTCTAGCTCTCTGGCAGGCCACGATTCGCCAAGCCAAAGTCAAGCCAAAAACCACAAGCAACAACGCCAGAAATCTCTGCCAAAAAATCGCTGGCGGGCGTTTTGACCATGGCGCATGGAGCAGCTGCGGGCTTTGTGGCCAGGCCCAACTCCGGACATATCCTCAAGAGCAGCAACAATAACAGCAACAACAACCACAACGACAGCAACGACAAAAGCCCGAAAAAATAATTAATATGCCTCAAAAAAGAAACCGGGCAGCCTTTTATGACAGGCGACAAGGGCAGGGTTCGAGGCAGCGTCGATCGGGATGCAGCTGCACTTGGACGCTGGCCGCTGGCACTGGCAGCAGTTTAACTAACGGCTTCTGTGCTTGTTGTGCTGCCGTTTCCGCATCTCGGTGTCGCCTCAGAATGTGCACGATTTTCCTTCAGATTCAATTTCAAGTGCAGCAGCAGCAGCAGCAGCCGCAACAGCAGCCACAACATCAGCAATAGCAACAGCAGTGCCAAGCGCCGCTATTAAGTCGACAACAACAACAAGCAATAGCCCTAACCAGCTAAGCCGCCTGAGCTGCCTGAGCCCCCAGCGCCGTGTGCCTGTTTGCCACTGTCTGCCGCTTCTTGCCGAGATTTCTATCTTTGATCTCTTACTCCACATGCAGCAGCAGCAACAGCAACAGCAGCAACAGCAGCAGCGGCGGCAGCGGCAGCTTCGAGCTCAACCACTGCTGTCTGCTTGTTAAATTGCTCATTTAAAGCATAACGAAACGACTGGCTGCTTGGTTGGGCATGGCAGAGCCAGGCGCAGCATGTGCCGCCGGCTGCACTTCCTAGAACTTCGATCAGGCACTTGTTTTGCTCTACTATTTGCTCCCTATACAAAACTCACTGCAATTTGCCCATTGGCAGCCATGCCATTGGCACTTTTAATTAGCATACAGCGGAAATTAGTTTGCCGACTTTATGTGACATCAAGCAGTGGCAGTGCCCACACCAGATCTCCCCCAATAGATTTGCCCCAACAATATTCAACTATTGGTCGCGACAAGGCGGCCCCATCAAATGCCATACCCGTAAGCGGCGTTCAAATAAATTATGATCTATGAAATTTATCGTTGACACTGCGAAAACGGCAGACAACGGCCAGACAAAACAGACCGGCTGCGACCGAGGACTGAGAACAGAAAATAGCCACAGTCTCTCCAGCAGAGAACGAGTGACATAGACAATTATATTTGATAGTTTTATGGCATTTTCCTGTGCGTTAAAGTTTTTGCTTTGCGTACTTGACAGGGATTGGTAAGCCAACATATTTGACGCAAAAGAATTCAAATGCTTGAAAGCAACGAGGGCGATCGTTAAAGTTTCAGCAAATCTTAGAAATTTCTGAAAATAAAATTTCAAAATCAAAGTACTTTACTGAAAATTGGCCGATCCATTTGGTGAAACCTATTTACCCTCCTTTTTTAGATGTACTCTTAAGAACATTCTCTGTAGTGTGTTTCTTTGAAACTATATTTCAATTTATTATTTAATTTTAATTGTTGTTCGCTCAACTTGTCGATGAGCTGTTACTAAATTAGCGATTTAAACCTCTTGTGAACTATTATTAAAATTAAGAGTAAAATATGAGGAAATAAAAAGTTGAAGATATAAATAATGAATCGTGCTACATTCAAATTCCTTAAGTGTTCTTAGGCTTATATATTCTTTTATTTTTTATTTTATTTCCCCAAATTAATTTATTATTATTTAAGCTAAAAAGCTAAGCTGGAAACCAATAATCCACCATCGGAAAGTTGCAGATCTGTGAGTATTTGCATACAAGAAAGTTGCAAAGTTGGTCGCTGGTTTGGCCGGGAAAACTCCAAATTGATGTCACAAAACCAAATCATAAATCACGCAAATTATAGTTATTATTGCAAACAATACAAATGAACATATAAAAGATATATGCTACAGACACACATACAAAAATATACCTATAAAGATGTGTATAAACAACAGGTCGTAGAACAAGCGCCGTTGCCAAATCTTGGTAGGAAAAGGCCATAAATCTTACCGATACTGTGGCCAGCAGCAATCGACGTCGACATTCTGCATCGGTACCAACATCGGTATAGACATCGGTATCAACATCGGCACAGGCATCGGCATCGTCCATGCTTGACTGGACAATCATAATAATCACAGTCACAACGGCTGGCCACTTGCAGCAGCAGCAGCAGCAGCAGCAACAGCAACAGCAAGAATAACAACAACTGACAACAGGCAACAAAAGCTACTTACTATGTCAAACCGATATGCGACTGATAAAAACCTGTGCCGCAAATAATCAGAGATGGAAATACACTAATAATGAAAGGTAGCATGTTAAGCTGGAGTGAGTTTAACAATCAATTAAGCTCTTAAGCTAAAGTCGAAAAGTTTATGGGTTATTTAAATATGCACTTATTTTTTCTCTTAATCATAACTAAGATTATTAAACTATATTTCAAGGTATTTGCAAATTAAATTAAAGTGTATCCAAACTTCGATGCCTCATGGACCTCTTTTCACCTTGTTATTCATTGTTTTTTTTTTGTGTCTCCGTATATTTCTGCTGCAGCAAGAAAGAAAATTGACAATTGCGCACCTGCTTCATTTTCTTCTTCTCTTAGAAAGCGGCACTACTGCAATAGCAAGAGCAAATGCAGCAACAACAATGCCACTGCCACAGCCAGAGCCAGAGCCGCAGCAGCAGCAGTAGTTGCCTGTTTAATGGCACTTAACGGTCAACATGCTTACTGTGTAGCAGTAAACTTTGTGCCTATAGCAAAACTTTCCAAACAAAAAAAAAATGTAAAAAAAATAGTAGCGACCACATCTAATATCAAATATACTTACTTAAATATATGCCTATATTTAGGAATGTACTTCATATTGTGATCTTGTATTTAAGGCACCTTGCATTTGCATAAGCCAAAAATATGTACATATAAAATACCAAGAAATACACATGTCTATTAAATGTTCATGTGCATTTTTATGAATGCTTATTGCATTGCTCTAATTGTATGGTAATCGAAAGAGCCCAAAATAAATCTGAGCCGCAGAAACAGTCCAAATAAATTATGAGTAGGATCTAAGGTTCGCCTTGTTGCAACAGCAGCAGCTGCTGTTGCGGCGTCTTTTGTGTGGTTTTCATTAAAAAGTGCTTTTAGGTCAAACCAAATGGCCAACAGTGGCCAATTAAGCGAGCCAAAAAATCAGGCAGACAAACACGGCCAGGAGATCAATAAGCTGCTGATGATGAAGTTGTTTTGATAAAGGCCCTGCCTTAGAAAACGTGCTCAATTTATCGAAATCGGTGCAGAGCACTACTATACTATACTATGAGTGCACTTTGCATGGCCTGTTGCCCAAGATAAACATCATAAATGCATTGAAATGTCATTGCCAACTGTTGCTATCTGTTGCCGTCTCTGCTATGAACTACCCAAAAAGAGCCAGCGATGGCGATAATAACGAGAAGTTAAGCTCGGCCGATTGCACTTGGGCTTGACTTGGGCAGCATCAGCAGGGCGCAGCATCAGTAGACACAGGAGCAGCAATTGCCGTTACTTCTTATGCAATTACGAGTACCTGCAATTGCCGAAGCTTAATTAGAAACACATAGAGGGCAAAAGAACTCTGGACTTGCTGTACTCCGCAGACTTTGCAAGACTGCACTTGGACTCGTACACAGTCAGCAGACTGATGATTATTTATCACCGTCGTGAGTCGTGCGACAATGATGAGACGGCCAATAATGATGGCTAGCAAGAAGCCTTGTGCACAGTGATTCATTCTAAATCAAATAAGAGAAACTGCTCTACTTGTGACTACTCGTAAAATGTAAGGCAACCGTTTCGATAAAACAACGATCACGAAAACTAGCATACTTAAATCAGAATTGTGTTTCGGTAACATGAACACTTTCCTTTCAAATTTGGGGATAGCTACACTAAATTTAAAACACTTACATTTTATTTGCGAAAAATTTAAATTTAAATATCTTAGCTAGAAAGTGAGCTTTGAGTTGGGTTAAAACCACTGTGCATCGTTAGCAACATTTTGAATGCCAACATGTTGATCCTACCTGCCAACAATGGGCACTCAATCTTCAATGCCAATTGACTACAGAGCACCTCATTCAGGGAACGTCAAATACTCATCATCAGGGGAGCTGACGGAGTGTGAGAACAAAATTATATAAAATAAGCCAGGTAATATTAAGAAATACAAGCATCACAAAGCTACAGTAACAGACCTAATTAAAGTTTCTTATACAATGAACACTTTTTCATTTTAAATAACTCAATCGGCACAAAACACATACCTTATCAGGTTACGAGATTTAGTCATACCAACTGAATTCAGTAGCCAATTACAACTTGAGCCATGCAGTTTGTTTCGTTGTGCATTTTGCTGAGTTCGATTTTGGGAGTTTCAGCGATAAATGAATGGACAAGAGCTCCATTTGTAAGGGACGGTAAGTCTAGCATATCATTCTCAAAGGAATATTAACGTAGCTTATCTTCCCTATATGTATTTGCAGAGAAGTGTTTGTTTCGTGTTAATGCAGGCCCATGTCATGGCAAATTTAGAGTGTTCGGCTACGACCCATTTGCCCAAAAATGCTCCCATTTTATTTACAGTGGCTGTGGTGGAAATCCAAATCGGTTCGCATCGGAATTAGAATGTCGCCAGGCTTGCAACCCAATTTCGAAGAGTGATAATAACGATTATGACGAAATTGTTCAGGTAGACTTTGAAGAAGATTATCTAGACCATGTGGATTATGTTGAGTATGATGGAGGAAACTCCAAAAAATCGGATAACGATGATTTGGAAAATATTGAGGAAAAGAAAAATAGTAAGGAAGCTGCTAATAGTGAAACAGACGATCCACAAAATAATAAAAAGCATGAACTTGACAATGATGATGGAAAATATGTGGATATCACTAAAAGAGAAGGAAAATAATGAAAAGTTATAAGGAAAGCCATAAATTAATCGAAGTGAAATAAAATAATGCAAAAGCTGAAAGCTAACAAGGGCGACCTTTTGATGGAAATAAAAATGAAAATTAAGACAAAAACAAAATGTAAATAAAACCAATTAGGGAGACTTTATAATTTCAACATATTAATATTGAAAAATGTATATCGCAAGTCAATAATATAAAATATTTTAATATTTTAAATATATATTTCAATTATGAGAACTTTATAATCTCGACATATATAATATAAATAAATGTACAACTCAAGCTCAGATTATCACTACTCCAAATTACTTAGAATGTCAATTTTAGATTTTATCAGAATAAATTATTGTGTCGCTTAGTGCGGAAGTTGTGTTAAGTGTGTACAGAGCCTCAAGCGACAACAAAAATAACAAAAAGAGACAAGCACAAGTTGCGTAGCCAATGCAGCGGAACTAAACAATTAACGCCTCAATCTGTGCGATCGAATGCCGACTTATGATCCAGAATCGTATCGCACATTCTAATGACTTTATTATGAGCAATGCAGGGCAACATTAATGTGTTGTTGTTGCTGTTGCTGCTGTTGTTGCTTGGCGCTGCTGCACCCACCAAAAAATGACGTCAGGGGTGTGCCATAGAAGTTGTCGTTGCCATTGCCGTTGTCGTAGTCGGCTTGCAGCCTTTTAAGTGTGCCGTAAGCTGAAATAAACACGAGTACCCGGCCAGGGCAGGCCATGCTGGGCCAAACAGCGACTGTATATCAGTTGACTTTTCTGGCTTTGACAATTATTTATGGTAATAAATAGAACCGCTAGCTTGAAGCTGGGCACAGCTTAGCTGGATGTACAATGTACAATACGGTATGACGGTATCATAAGTACTAAATCTAGCGAGCCCACATAATCCGCCTCTAATTGCCGCACTCTGCGAATGTGTTACAATTTCTATAAAATTTTACGACCTCAACGATTTGTGCATGCAAATGCAAATTTCGATTGGCAATTACCACTCAGCATATTAAAATGTTGCAAACGTCATTGAATGCAACACTGACAATATTAAGCATGCAATTTATTAAGCAAAAAAAGGCTAAGATCCGGCGTTCCAGGCGTCCAGTCGTCCAGTCGTCCAATCGTCCAATCGTCCAGGCGTTCATTGTCAGCCTAACAAATGGCCAGTGTCTCATTAATGCCACACAATGGATGCAGCCAGCGGCATCGGCACCGACATCCCGCTGCGTCCAAAATATGCAACATTCATCAATCACACAGCAAACAGCGAGCACTGTTGGCCACAAATGAGAATGAGTTCACGCGCTGCACTTGGGGTCGAATTCAGTGCCAACTGTGGTCTGTGGACTCTAGCTGTGTCTGTTTTTGGCTGGGGCTTGGATTGATTTGCTTGCCGCATTTTCAAGTCAATTACACATATTTGTGGCATTTGTGGCACTCAAATGTGAATACCCATGCGGTGGGTCGCATATTGTTGTAGGTGTTAGCCGTCTGTCTGTTTCGCTATGTTTCCCAGTACCTCTCGATTTTCCCTGTTTCTTTTTTTGTTTCTTTCATTGTTGTTGATGTTTTGTGTTTTTTGTGTGTGCGCGTGGCATGCCACAACAGAGCCGTATGTGTCCGCCCACAGCGGCGCTGGACAAACAACGCCACAAGTGAGTCACGTTGCAAGTCAAGCGAGCCATAATTCATGTCCAATACTGTTGCACAATAGGTACAACTGTGGCATTTAGAGGGCCATCTAAGGGTTAAACATCGACTCTTATCGAACAGCTGTTTTTCAGCAAAGCTTCATACGCCGCCCACAAAATTTTAACGATGGCCCATAACTCAGTTGATAAGAAAGCTTTACTCTCACAACTCTGTGGCCCTAAGCGGCGCATGTGCACTGAGCGAAGTGACAGCGACACAGAGAGTGAGAGTATGAGTGAGAAAGAGAGAGAGACCATTTTTGGAGAGTGCAAGTGAGAGCGCGCGCGCATTGATAAGCAAACGAAAGCTCATCAGTGCCTGCACTAACAGCACAGATTGAAAACAATACAAATAACAATATAAGATACCTTTATCCGTATGGCAAGTGGCAACTTTAAAATACCGTATGTGAAAAATGCTCAAAATATATAAATTAATTATTAAGTTACAAATAAATAAATAAAGGAATACTAAGAATTTTTATTGGCAGCGAGCGATGAAATGTATTTAAATAATACCAAACGTGGGGAAGGCACTTTTATTATTGCAAATAATTAGTAATATAGCAAACAATGCAAAAAAAACGATAACAATCTGTTAGACATATTTACATTTGTAGACACGCTTACATTTGTAAATTCCACAAATGTACAAATGCATCGCTAAACGTGTAGATACACATCAAAGGTATATAGGAATACACGCATGCATGATCGCATATCTATAGAATGCAGCTGTGTGGCAACAGAGGCGTTCTGCTTGCCACATTCTTAATGCCTGATGACAACTGAATAAGAAGTTTATACTATTTTTACGACAGACGTTGCCAAGCACTCTCAGCACATACACCTCGCTCTCTCTCTTTCTCTCTATGTGTTACTCTCCCGCGCTTTCTCTCTCACTCTCTCTCTCTGTTCCACAGCTTAACGCTCTCTCTATCTCTCTTTTTGTAGAGGGCTCTCTGAATGGCTCCGACTCTTTTGCACATCAAAATACGTAAACAAAACCATTCCATCGTGTAAATAAACAGAAACGAAATACATTTATTCATACAGCTCGACTCTCGCTCCGCTCAGCTCTGCTCAGCTCCGTGGCGCTCTTTGGCCCGCATGGAGCAGCGACTGCGGCGACAGCAGAAGCAAAACAATCAAGTGAAAGCGCTGAGCGAAGCATAGCATATCTAAAACTTATTGTATTGTATTGTATCTACAACTTTCATTGGCGCGACGCTGCCATCCCGCAGCAGATACAGATACTACAACGCGTGCATTGCACAAGAGCAAAGTGCACGGCGCATGGAGCCACACAGAGCACGGCGCTTGGAGCACACGGAGAGAGCGTGCTGTGTAAAAACTGTAGATGTAATTCTTACGGAACCCATAGAGACCCAGACCCAGACACTGACAGAGTCAGAATCACCATCAACGCCAGGCTGAGTTGTCGTTGCCGTTGTCGTCGTTGTCGTCGTCGTCGTCGTCAGTGTCGTGAGTTCGCGGTCGAAGCCAAACGCGGGCGTAGCAAACTCATTTCGTAAATGGATATGTGCTGGAGACGCAGACGGCGCGGCAAGCCAATGAAATGAAATTTATTAAATTAAAGACGACGTGAATATAGACACACATGCTCCAGCGAACGGAAGTGAAAAGTGACACATAGCATCTACATATAAGCATCGTGTAGACAACGAAATAAACTAATCGCAAAAGGTAGCTAAATTGTTCACTTGGGCATAGTGCAACCAGAAAATGTATCTGTGAAGTAGCCATCAATGTGTGTGTGTGTATTTCCGTGTGTCTGTGTCTGTGTGTGTGTGTTGCGTGTGTGTATATCCATATAGCAGTCAAGTGCCTCAGTTAGCAAGTGTATGTGTGTGTGTGTGAGCGAGTGTGTGTGAATGTGCGTGTATGTGAAAGTACACGCCTTTTGAATGCAGCAGCAAAAAATGCGAATAACAAATTAACATTGAAGCTGTTTGTTTTCCACATTACACAGAAGCTGGTCTCAATGAATTGTGCAACTGAAATTTAACAAATGGTTGCGGAAACACAGGAAATGTGTCCCAGACAAACGCTCGTCTGGCAAATTTGAAACGATTTACCCATATGCAGCACAATATTTGTCTGGCTATTTGCCAACTTTGACTTAGATCCAGTGGGTTGCGTACGGGTCAATATCCTTTGACCCAATTATGTTAGTCACTATAAATTCATAAGCGAGCAGCCAATTGACATGATTGTTGTGCTCGTTGTTGTTGTTGTTGATTTGGCTGTGTCAACTCGCTTATAATGGACTTCAATTTCCGTTGGCTTTCTTTGCATGGAGTAACCGTACGCCCATCCCCTAATCCCATATTCCCCTATCGCCAAACGACACATGGCACGCCTCAGAGTTTGCATGCAAAAAATGTCACAATTGCGTATGGAGTTGTAAGTGGGAGGGTGGAGTACGCCCCGTAAATGGTGGGCGCGGCAGGACCCACGTCAGAATCTGTGCAGGAAAGCTCTCTGGAATCGCATACTCTCAAAATACTCTCTTTCTAGCATGGTTTTAATCTCGCTCTTGTTCCCGCTCTCTCTCTCTCTCTCTCTCGCTCTCCCTCATTATCTTACTCTCTTGCTCGCGGTCCCTGTCGACAGGACGTGCCTAACCTACCTTGAGTTGAATTCCATAGTAGCATAATAAAAGTACGAGTGTGTGTGGGTGTGTAGTATAGTATGTGTGGGTGGTTGGGGGCTGTTGTGGGAAGTATGTGTGTGTCCGTGTGTGTGTGAGTGTGAGTGGCAGCGCGTGTGTAAGCAGGTGATTATCTGTTGCAGTGTTGTATTTATCTCATTGAAGCCGAAGTGACAGGCTGGCAGGCAGCATGCTTTCATTTTCAAGCTCCCCTTTGGGCGATATCACAAGACAGACACCCAAATAGACAGTGACAATGGGCAAATTTCACACAAGTTCATCGAAATCAGAAACAAATACATATACAATAATAAATACGTATTCCATCACTGACTTGTTGGTAAAATTGGCCAGTTTTCACCATTGTGCCAAACGAAATCTCGGCAAAAAGAAATTGCTTATAGAGTTTAAATACTTTCCTCCATGTCGTAAAATAAACAAACTATATAAGAAAGCAGATATGCTTTAATTCATTACAAATTTTATGAATTTGAAGTACAGGCAAACCAAATAATAATAATAATAATAAGCACGTATTTAATACTTTGAAATTTAACGAATTTTAAGTACTGAACAATAAAAAAAACACGTATTTGACGACTCCTAAATTTTATTTTACTCGAGGAACACGAACGATGATGTAGTATTTAAAATGCTAAAAATGTTTTCTCAACAAGTAAATGGAACATTTTGCATTTTTGCCCATTGTGGGCGCTTCCAACGTGACGTATCAAAGATACTCAAAGATATTTCAACGCATGAAAAGCACTTCATCAGCCGTGAAGCTGGAAGCAGGCTCAGTGGCAGCAAGTTACACATGAGTGCTTCGGAGGTTTGACTGTGTGGTGTCTTATTGTGCTGTATTACTTTTGCCGTAATGCCAGTCCTTCGACAGGGATTGGCGGGTTGAGGCGCCACTGAATTGAAAGGCGCAAAAAAAAAGTCATTAGAGCTAAAAGGCGACCCAAGCTAAGTGCCACAAAGCCCGCAGCATTTTAATGAAGTACACTTCACAGTCATAATTCGTTTTCACTAAATCAACTCAGCACCGTTGACATCTGAAAGTCGTTGATTTCTGAAAGCGATTAAAATTACGTGCAACCACTCAAGAAAATCCATTAATGGACATTAATTTGCAGGCTACACGCAACACTAACGCACCAGCAAAATGGGTAAGGATCAGGAGTTTCTAGAAGCGGCCCGCAATGGCAACATCAGTCACATCGAAAAGGTCCTCTCCCAAAAGGGGAAACGAGCTGGGCCGCTGGCAAGCCTGCGACGCACTGGCGTCAATGTACAGGATAGCAGCGGCTACTCGGCACTGCATCATGCCTGTCTCAATGGACACGAGGATATTGTGAGACTGCTGCTTGCCCACGAGGCGTCCACCAATCTGCCGGACACGCGTGGCTCGTCACCGCTGCACCTGTCCGCTTGGGCCGGAGAGACGGATATTGTGCGGCTGCTCCTGACGCAACCCTATCGACCTGCCAACGCCAATCTACAAACCATTGAGCAGGAGACGCCGCTGCATTGTGCCGCCCAGCATGGACACACTGGCGCCCTAGCACTGCTGCTGTCACACGATGCGGATCCCAACATGCGCAACTCCCGTGGTGAGACACCACTAGATCTGGCTGCCCAATACGGTCGCCTGCAGGCAGTGCAAATGCTCATCCGTGCGCATCCTGAACTGATTTCACATCTGAGCACAGCGGCGGTGGAGACAGCCGCCGTTCCGTCGCCGTCATCGCCATCTTCACCCATGCGTCACATATTTCCGCACACCTGCCTGCATCTGGCAAGTCGCAATGGCCACAAGAGCGTTGTCGACGTCCTCCTCTCAGCCGGCGTATGTGTGAATCTATTGACGCCCTCGGGCACAGCGCTTCACGAGGCAGCATTGTGTGGCAAGGAGAATGTGGTGCGAACACTGTTACGAGCCGGCATCGACTTGTCTGCCACTGATAATGAGCAACGCACTGCACTGGACATTTTGCGAGAATTTCCACCACATGTGACTAAGCACATTATTGCAGTGATTAACAGTACGTATGCGTAATCTATTTAAACCGCTTTGCTGAATATATTTTTGTAGAGTTTTGAGTTAAATAAAGATTCAAGATTTGAAGACAGTTTTGATGTGCAATGAATCTTAACTTAATTGATACATCAATTATTATACAAGTTTCCAATCAAATGAATTTTCGTGCGAATAACATATTTCACAATCATCTGTTGAAAGTATAAAATTAATCTTCCAAACTCTCATAGGGAAGTCATCATTCATTCGCTTACAATTTTTATTTATACATAAGTATACATTTACTAAAAATACATTTTTCATAACTCTGCTTCAGCAATATATTTATATAAATAAAGTATAATATTATATATCTATCAAAGTTAATACCAAACATTATTTTGCCTAGACTTTCGTCATCAAATGGACACCGATGAGGTCGACGAGGTTATTTACCGACAGCATGCACCGCAAACATCTGGGCGTGGCCAGAGCGCCAAACAGACACAGCAGCAGCAGCAGCAGCACAACAGCCATAACCACTATCATTTCAACTCGAACAACCACTTGCTTAACCACTCGCACTCCATGCAACAGCCCGGATATAGTAAACAGCGGCTAAGTGCCGGCAATGGCGGCCCATACAATGGCGGCAAATCTTTGGATAGTGCGCTGCAGCCGGCAGAGGAAAGATTCTATCAAGATCTAAACGTCCACTCGCCGCTGCACATACAAAAGTGAGTTTCTCACATGAGCCTTTTTTCTTTGACTTTTACATTTGCGAATTTTCCATAGCGACATGGGCGGTGGCTTTAGTGTTAGTCCTTCATCCTCGCTGAGCAGCTTTGAGCCGGCCTCTGTTTCGCCGCGTTCTCGCTGCTCCACGGGGGGTGGCACACAGCCGCTGCAAATGAGCACGTTTGCACCGAGTGGACCGCCAAAGAAGCCACCGCGACGCAATCTCTCCGTTTCGCCAACGCACGCTGGCCCAGGCCAGCAATTTAGTTATAGTTCACCATCTAGTCAAGGCCAGGGACAGCAGATGCGACGTCGCCCACCAGCTAATGACAGTCCCTATTCGCATCAGAGCCACGGCAGCGTTGGCGGCATGAGTTTCGATGAGACCCAACTGCGGGAACGCCAGCGCAGTGATCGACTCTACGCAAGTGCCAGGCAGAGCACCCGATCCGCCGTAGATGGCAACATGAGCCTCAGTTCCAGCAGTAAGTAAAATGTGATATTCACTGTAATATATTTTGATATATATTCATTTTCTGCACTTAGATGACATGCTAGATCGACAGTGCAGCAGTTCCGAGCTCAATAGTGAGACAAGTGTGCCAAATTCAAGTGGAGAATCCCCAGCTCCGGCTTCCCATTCCACCAACTCAATGAAGCGACCCATTCCAGCGCAACGCAGCGCTTCTACTAAACTGTCTAAGGAGCTGCTCAAGTCCTGTGAGAATGCCACCCTCAAATCGTACAATCCCAATCGAAAACTCAAACGTAATCGAAATAGCTGGTGAGAATATAATATATTTAATCGTAGTTTTTAATGCATCAGAAATTTTAAATCTACACCTTTATTTTTTTTCAAAATTGGTTACATTTTTAATTTTTATTTATTTTTTGTTTTGGTAGTTTTTTTTTTTTTAATAAATTGGTGTAATTAAACCAAAGACTTAATATACATATTAAAATCATTAAAAATTCACTTGACAATTAATCTTAATCTTAACAATTTTTATTAAGTCTTTTACATTTCTGTAATCAATGCGTTTTAATTTCACAGCGACCACTATATTTAAATTCATTTAAATTCCATTTCACATTTATTACTTATGTTATGAGAGAAAGTTTTGTTCATTAAATTATTAAGTTCGTTGAAAGTTCGTTGAAGAAGTATTAAATTTATAAAATCCTTTGGTGCAGCTCTCTCAATGTAGCAGAAAAGGCCGAAGGTGTTGAGCAAAACTGTGATACCAAGCAGCAAACTCCAAGCAGTCCCACACACTACAAGCAACCACCAACGCCGGACCACCCGCCACCGAGCTCAAGCCAGGCAGAGCGCACCATCCACGAGCGCATCCGTCCACTGAGCCAGGAGTACAAGAGGCGTTCAGCACTGCTGCAGTTGCAGGCGGCGCAGCAGCTAATGATTGAGACGGGTTCATCGCCATCGAAGCTGCTGCCGTCTATGGGTACACCAGGGTACGACTATGATGATACGGTCACAGTGGTGCCACGCTGTCCGGCACCATCATCGGGCTCACTGAGCTCCAGCATTTCGTGCTCGGATCACAGTCTCTCTCATTCCACGGACTATGTGGAGGAGTTTGTCAGTGATGTGCCCTTTGCCGGGCTACTCAAGGGCGCCACACACCACAACGAGACCAAGGCCCAAACGGTACAGGAGCTGCCCCAACAAGCGGCACGTGTGCGTCCTCCTATTGCAATGAAGCCCTTGGTGCCGGAGAGAAAGTTCGTGAAGCCGCCAACGACGCCAACCTCACAAAATGTTGTCGAAGTCAAGCTGGAAACAAATGGTAATGCCGAGGGCGAGACTTCCTCTCGTAAGATTGACAAGTCGCCTGCTAAGTCACCTGCGAAATCACCAGCAAAGACACCCGGCAAGTCGCCTTCAAAGTCTCCAGCTAAATCACCCGGCAGTGGCCATTCGATAGCTCGCAACTCGCTCAATCTATTGAGTCCCTTCAATGCCGAGGAGGCGCGCAAGAAAATCTCAGAAATCATTGAGAACTTTGGCAGTGGCATTCTCAATACAAACATAACGCCCACCCATGACATCGAACTGGACTTTGAGGATCTGGAAGTGCTGCCCGAGCGCCGCGAGCTGGCCGTAAGATTGCGCAATGCCGGACTGTTGCATCTGGAGCGGATTCTCTTTGAGAACGGCTACGATAACTATAAATTTGTGGTAAGCATGAAAGACTAACCCACTAAAATTGATAATTCATAAGCCACTTGTCAGCGTAATGTGTTCGAGGAGCCAGATATTCCACTACTGCACATACCCGAACGAGATGCGACGAAGCTGCTGCGTTTTGTGGAGACACTGCCGCAGTCGGAGTTTTTGCCACAGGTGCCATTCAAGACACAGCAGGAGAACAAACAGATGGGCGTGGCAAGCCTACAGCAATGGCTACACAGCATCGCTCTGCCCGAATATCTGGAGTTCTTTAAGTGAGTGTTTGCATTGAGTCAACAATTCCAGTTGTATTTAATTAATGCCCCACATTAATTATGCAGCAAGCATCTGTACAACACCATTGAAAGCGTCTGTGGCGTTTGGGATGTAGAGCTGCAGACGGTGCTGGAGATTAATAAATTAGGCCACCGCAGACGGATTTTGCAATCATTAGCATACATACGGCAGATGCGCGAATCCAAATCGCTGAAAACACCGCTTGGCGAAAACAACGAAACCAACAAAATTACATCGAATGGCAACAGGGAGACAACAGCGTCAACCAGTGCGACACAACCACCCGCACATGTTTTGCCGCATCGCAATTCCATTACGGGCTACCGCAAGAATCGGTATGTTTGATAAACTAGTCAAAAATTAAGTTAAGTCAAATGTGTTTTATTTGACAGTCCGGCACCACCGCCGCCCGCACCACCGGCACAGAAGACAGCAGCCGCTACTGCTACACCACTGCAAATACGCGCACCTTCTGAGCTGTTGCTGGGCTTGCCTGTCAATCTGCGCACCACCCAATGGCGCCACTCGGCCCAAACCCTACTCAATGAACACATTAAATACGAGGTTCAGGTAAGTCTACAGTTTTAAGTCATATGCCACATCTCTATTTAATGATTGGCCATGTTAGTACCTCGGCTCAACGGTTGTGAAAGAATTACGTGGCACAGAGTCCACGAAGAAATCCATACAGAAACTGAAGGCGTCCGCCGGACAGACGCATGCGGAGATTCACAAGCAGGGCGCACCACTATCCCTGGCCATTTGTCATCGTGGCGTGGAGTTTATTGATGTGGCAAGCAAGGTGTGTGTTGATTTAATACTAACCCATACTAAATAATACAATTGCGATTCATTGTTCTAGCGCATTATCTGTGAGCATGAGATACAGAACATCAACTGCGCCTGTCAGGACTCGGAGGATCTGCGTCACTTTGCCTACATAACCAAGGAGCAGGATTTGCACTATTGTCACGTGTTCCTTGTGCAAAGCACGGTTAGTAATATCAACTATTATTGAAAAATACTGTTCTAAATTTATGTACAACAGGTTTGTAAATAATATCGTGTTGTTCTTAACATTCGCAGAAAAAATCGCTCTTGATTTCTAAATAAATTTCAAAATCAATTACAAAATCCCCGTAAAAGATTTTTCTAAAAAAAATTAAAAAATCATGCTACTTAACATAATTGTGTTTTAGATGTAAATTTAAGAACTTTAATTCTCATTCATTGACTAAGAACTTGAGTACCTAAAATAAAATTAAAATAATTGGCTTGATTCCAAAAAATGTTGGAAAATTCTTTAAGAACATAAGTGTTTCAAAAAGATATCAATCGTTTTAAATATACAATAGGTATATAAATATAATTGAACCTCTATTTGCATTTCAGGATCTGGCTAGCGAGATTATCCTAACTCTGGGCCAAGCCTTCGAGGTCGCGTATCAGCTGGCGCTGCGCGATGGAATTGCCACAACGCCAGCGCTGCTCCTTGATAATGGCATGCTTCAGGGCGAGTATTGTGGCGGTGGCAGCAAATAGAGTCAGGAGTTGGCCACCGCCCAGGCCCAACAAAATCAGTCTTTGGCTAACAGATCGAATCGCAGTCACAGTCGCAGTCGCAGCCTCTGCGCCAAACTATTTTGCTTAACCAACTACGGTGCGCTGTTTAAGTTATAGATAGTAATCCGGGGGCAACTACTAAATTTGATCCTAGTAATTGCGCGTTTGACATTTAATTGGAATTATTCTGTTTTCAAATGGCCAACAGCAAGATAAACAACAACCAATACATTGAACAAAAAGACTTTTAACAGAAGGCACAAATTTTTTTTAAAGAAAACCACTCAATAAACTCCAGCTTTTTTTTAAGCGGCAATGTTTTGAGTATCATCAACTGAACGCACAACATTCATTATATCAACGTAAATCATTTCAAACGAAAATGATGCATTTAAATCTTTTTAAAAATCTATATAAAAGCAATTGCATTTAATTACATAATACTTACATGCGTATAAAATGTTTTAGCAAATTTTAGCTCTATCTATAACCATAAATCGAATATAAAGAAGTATAAATCTATTAACATATTATTGGCACTTGAATAAAATTTTATTAATGTTAAAAGCTGTATGAAAAACTATTAAAGCAGCGAATTGCTTACAAAAGCAATGAAAATTCATATCCAGCAAACAAAAATACAAATTGGCTATATACAAGCGATAAATATGTATACATACACTATATATAACTAATCCCATCATTATTAAATGAGACAATGAGTGTTGTTATATAATTTTAAATAAATTCTTATTAACAAAAGTAAATCGAACGCTAAAACGTCAACTCTAATCAAAATAAATACAACGCACAAAGTTATAAGCAAATCTGCTTACAAAATACAAATATAAGAAAATTAAAACTATCAGCGAGTTATACGAAAGAGATAAATATAAAAAAAAAGGAAAATATTAATATATATACATATAATATTGGTGTACAACAAGCGTTTGTATATTGTTCACACAATTTGAAAACTTCTAAGCTAGTCCTTTGGTTGTTATCGGGGCATCTACATACATATATAGGTTTGTTTCATTTAAAATTGATTTGAGGCAAAGCCTTGTTGTTATCATTTGTTTAATGATGTTTTTAGTTAATTATTATTTAAATACAATTATTCAAAGAAGCTCTACCCACTTCTACCACTCGATGTGTGCAATGCTTTAAATGTTAGCCTGCTTTATGGTACAACAATGTTCATAAGAAGTACCTATCCATAAAAATCATGTGAAAAATCAACTAATCAACAACAAATAATTGTGCATTTTTCTGTACGCATTTTTACAAATTTGTTATGCCACTTGCACTACAAAATATACATAAATACATACAATTCAAAGAACTATATACATACATACATGCAAACAAACAAACGTACATGCATACAAACATACAGGCTAGCGCATAACTAATGAAATTTAATAGCGATCTATGCATAAATAAATATAGTAAACAAAAAATAACATGTTTACCGAATAAAGCTAAATGGAAACCTGTAAACCTGATTTGTCTTCGTCAAATTGCATAAACTAGTTTACCAAACATACTAAGCCCAAAACAAAATAAAAAACTTATTAAAATATTGAGCAAATACATGCATACACGAAATATGTGTGAATGTGTGTGTGTGTGTGAGTGTGTGAGTATCTGTGTGAGTGTGCGTGCGTGTGTGTGTGTGTGTGTAGATGCAAACATATGTACAACTAACAGACAAACCTTATACAAATCCGTACTAAATAAATGCATAAATATATATGTAATTAAATGAAGCCACAAGTTGTTTATCTATTTTTAGTATTTATCCTCGAGTCATTTGTGGCCGCCTCGTGTCAATTAAGGCGCACTTTCCCACAGGCCTCTGCCACAAACACCGAACACCAATTTCAACTCCAACTCCATCGCCAGAACGGAGATCATTTACACAAGTTGAATGCGAGCCGGTTTGGTGAAACGTCTTGTTGGTTTTTATAAGGCTAAATGCGTTAAGCATTTGATCATACGAATATTAATTGGCAAACACCAAAGCGCAGCTCAGGCCCCGACACCGACCACAACTTCGACTCCAACTACAACTACAACTACAACTCCAACACTGACGCTGTTGTTGACTGTCGACTCCTCGACTCTCGGCTCTGTGGCACACGCACACGCACGAATGTTGCCAGCAATACGTTTGCGGCGTGCGTCAAATACTGCCAAGCAATACACACGATAGCAATTGCCCCGGGCACGGTAATGGGAATGGGAATAGGAATGGGGGGACTGTTAGTTAGTTGGGTGCTGCGAGTAGCCAGAATGACGACGACGACGACGACGACGCTGCTCGGCGCATCCATCGTGTGCTTGATGCAGCCGCCGCTTCATGCCGCCACTTCATGCGCTTAACGGTTTAAATTATTTCGCTAGCGTGCAATTTGTGGCGCACAGCTTATCACAATTTCATTATTACAAGTATTATTATTACTATTACTATTACTATTGCCATAGTAAATTCACAATATGTGGAGAACAGCTGCCGCCGCCGCCAGTCCTCTTCTCTGCTGTGATGTGCTGCGCGTTTATTTGTAATTGAAATTGCGTGACTTTATTCTTCTCCTTTTCGCCATTTCTGTAATGTCTGCGCGCTTTTGCATTGCCATTGTTGCCATTCAAAGGAAAGAGCCAAACTTGCACATTTTGCAGTTTAATTGTACACACATACAAAAATACATACGTACATACATACGTACATACGTACAAGGTGTATACGACAGAGACCTACATACATATGCACGTAAAACTTTGGCGAGCTTTCGTTTTGACAGCGAGAATAGCGGCAATCAATACAACAACAGCAACAGCTGCAGCAAAAACAAAAACAAAACAAAATGAAAAGCACAAAGCAAAAAGCAGACAGCTTACTCTGCGAGCTGTTCGCCTGTTCCAAATGCGAGCAAGCAGCGCAATGTTTGCCCAGCCCTTGTCAAAACGAAATAACCCAGTGTGTGTGTGCGCATGTGTGTGTATGTGTGTGTGTGTGTGTTTACACATTACCACATGAAGATTGCTTGAGCAAATTTTAAATTAACAAGGCACGGTTGAATGCCATTTTCATTTGCTGTGCGCCTGCTGAAAATTGTACCAAAAAATCGCCGTTCGTCACTGAAACTCGCATCTGGCGAGTACCCGAAACGCTAGCGATTCACGATTTCGGTTCCACAAGCAAACCCGATCCCAGTTGCGCTCTGTTTAACGAACCGATTTGCTCAACAAGCAGTTTTCTTTCTTTCAATCGATTTGAGCGTGAATGGGAACTTGTATAATAAATAATGTTTTTATTATTATTAGGTATTTTACTTGAGCATCAGTTTCAACTAGAATCTTTAAAAATCACATTATTCCCATAAGTTGTGCCGTGGGACAAGACAAGCTTCATATGTTTCCGAGGCAAATATTCGAGCAACAATCTTCACGAAAGAACCTGTTGCGATTGCCGCCGCAGTTTTAGTATTCAAAAACTTGTCAACGTATGTCGTTTACATGCCTATACGGCCATAATATTGAATAGCAGTTTATGTTCTATTTAAAGTTCCGGTCTATAAAATCTTCATTCTCCTTGAGACAAGCAAAATCGAATATCGAATTATGTCACAGTACTGAAACTTCAACTTCATTGTATACAATTGTTTCAGTTAATGAAAATGTGATTTGAGCTGTTATTAAATACTGTTGCTAAGAAGAATTTTTAAAGTCTTTAGTTATTTTCACCTATTTTAGTGCTTAGGTACTTAATTTATTTCAAAATCAGATTTTGTTATACATATGTAAAATATGAGGAGAAAAAGATTTTTATCGTCTGGTGCGAAGGGGAGATGCCAGATTCCAGCGCCTCGATTTCTCAGTACAAAAATTATCACAATCGTTTTTGGTAAAGAAATGATTACGATTTCCTCCGCAATTCGAATAGATAAAAGTTTCGCATTTATTTCTATATTTATTGTAATACCACAGCGGGCGTTTTCCGTTGCATTTGCCATAGTCAGGCTTCATACCGCAAATTACTGTAAATGACAAAATTATACACCAAAATGATCGATTATTGAAATTAAAATACAACCTTTGCTAATTTTGTCCATGTGCAATTGTCGTTTGATGTACTCAAAATTCATGCTATCAGAGAGTTGGCCCATAACGACCACTGTTAGTATCACTACAACAAATAGAACAATAAAACGCGACATTCTGCGCAGCTGTTGTCCAATACAAAATGCTACTGAAGAAATTAAAAGAACCAACGACCATTTATAGGGACAACAACTGATTGGAAAACACTGCAATCTGTTTTACAAGTAAGCATTTATCATTGGAAAAGCTGTTGTAAAAAGTTCTTATGAGCAATTCGAAAGCACTTCATAGATAAAACGTGACGTTCAGTGCAATTGCTCAATCAGTAATCAGTGGTCAAAAATTATTCGACCGGTTGGCCGGTTTCTTACCTAGCAAGCTAGCAAACGAATTCAATTAAATTTTTCAATAAATTATAAGTGCTAAGGCGCACGCGTTCCCACATACATGCTCGTATAGCGCACGGCACGAAACTCAGCTCTGCTGCATACTTAGATGTATAAGACAGTAAACTGTGAACTGGTCCGACGCTTAAACCGGTACTTAGTACACGATGCAAGATTACGCAACCATCGCACATCACATACCATCACACATACGACGCGTTGTACACCACTCGCTCTAGACATACAAATGTAGACAGCGTTCAGACATATCTCGATGGCATTTTTCTTTTCGTAAAACGAAAACGAAAACGAAAACATCGGAAAATCGAAATTCTAGATCAAGGCCAATACGCACACATAAGCCAATATACATACATATACGCATACAGATACTTGTATCTATGTATATATGTATGTTAACATACGCAATGCATGCGTAAAAGAAAAAATAAATAAGAAACTCCAAACTAGTTTTCCATTGCAGGAGGATGCTTGGTTAGGCCAGTTAGTCGAACGCACATAAACTGGGGCAAAAGGAAGCACTGCCAAAGCATGCAATAAATTGCAATTGAAATGAATTTTGTCACTTGACAATTTGCATTTGTAAATTACAAGACAAAACACTTAGCAGCACTTACGCGACTGACAGGGCCACAGGCTCCGAGGTCCGGGCGGCAACCCCAATTACATTTCCAAATACATTATCACAGTTTACGATATTGACATATGTCATTGATCAGCAGTTTATTTGGAACTAACGCGAGTTGAAGGTTGGACAAATGAATATAAATCTGCATAACATTGAATAGAATACTGATAATATGTACAAAGTTGCAAAATTATACTAATGCCTAATAGATATCTCAAAACTGCGATAAAAATTTTACATTCATTTTATGCAGTGTAATATTAAGTTTCACATTAAAAAGCTAAAGTGCAAAGACTGCAATCACTGAAGTCCATTTAATAAAAATATATTAACTAAATTAAACAGTATTATTTTCAAAGTGCTTTGTATATGCTTAATTGAATTTGCATGGATTTCGATCGTGGCCGTGGGACCTGTTGGCTAGTTGAGCTATTAACGAAATTATTGCCCATAATTCTATTAATCTAAATATTACATTTAAATGTGCTAGCAAAACAATTTGCAGGCTTTTTTGCGATTATGGTTATTAGCTGAAAACACATTTAAGGTCGCCTTGGGGTCCAGTGCAATTGCCGATTATCGATTAGTATAGATAGTCTCTGGCCTCGTGGATCGTGCCAAGGCCAAGAAAGCAGCCATAGATTGACCAACTGCCGTTATTCGGTGATTGATGACAAATGAAATGAAAAAATTTGGCAGGCAGTAAACTAATGGTTTTATCTAAAGATTTGACGCTTTTAGCCGGAGCACGCAAATTAACCACATGGAAAATTCTGCAATTATTGCTAATAAATATATTTATGGCCGCTGCTGATGCCCACTGGCCGATGACTTCTGCTCGGAAGATACGAATCACCATAAATCTAAGTGCGGTATAAATATTTATCGTGATTTTATAATCATGGCTGTCCAAAAATACCAAGAGGAAGACAACCGACTTGCCTTGCATGCTCAACATGCATGCGACAACAACCACATTTGGCATGCGTGAGAATTGCACGCAGAGCAACTAACCAATGCAATGGCCAATAGTCAATAGCCGCAACTGACCACATTTTTTTTTCTTTTATTATTTTTTTTTTTTTTTCTTATGGCAGGCAAATTTTTGCACATGGCAGTACCGTGATTCGAATGGCACAGATAAAAAAGGTCGCGCGTCTTAGAAAGTGGGTTAATTAGCAGGCGAAAACCGATTTGTGTCCGTGCATGCATCCGCCTGGGGACCGCACAGTGTTCACAGTGCACATTGCACATTGGTCCAATAAAACATAACGCATTGGAATGCCCAAAAGTTGACCCCAATGGCGCTGGTGGCGGTTTCAGTGGCGACTGTCCAACAAAGGAGGATGCTGATACTGATGCGAATGCGGATGCCGGTTGGGGACGAGAGGACGAGGACGTTCTGCTCGCGCACACGTCATTGTTAATTGGGCATTCAAATGTCAAGTTCAATTT